ACTCATTCCCAAAGGAATCTCGCTGCTGCCATAGCTGAAGTCACACAACTTAAATGGGATGTTCTCCTGGTCGCAGGCTGCCAGTCTGCGGGCTTCTGCTAGAGAGCTGGTGTCAATGCAATGGGGATGCACAGCTAGCGCGGACAGAGAGGGAAGGAGGCAGCTCCTTGGAGGCCCAGACTCTCTGGAACTGCAGAGCGAACGGAGCCCTGTGCTCCCAGGAACAACACGCAGCGCTGGCAGTGGCTCATGCTGCAGCCCCGGGAAAGGGAGGGTGTTTGCCAGCACCCTCCTCGTGCCCAGAGGAGGGGTCCCTGGGCCTCAAGGAGGCACCTGGGCTGCTCTGATGTTGGGGAGCAGATCAGGAGGTACCTGAGGAGGGAGGAGTGTGAAACAAGCTGGAGGGTGGCAAAGGTGCTGGGGTGGTAGTGGGCGGGGGGAATGCATATTCCCTGCAGAGGGAAGGGCAGGAAAGCTGCCCTGAGCAGAGGGAGAAACTGCTGGAGTCGGCGGTGGCCTGCGCCGATGGAGGTGGCTCCTCTGCTCCCTTGGGCCGGAGAGGGCGCACGTGCCAAGCGCCAGAGCTGGCCAGCGGGGTGGCTCTGCACCATGGGCTGCCGTGGGAGCCCGGCTTGGCTGCTGCTGGGGGGAGAAGGGCATCAGAGGGGCCCAAATGCAGGACGGGGACAGTCCTGGACACTCCGGGAGCCCCAAGGGATGCAACGGGGATATGGGTGTTTTGGCGCCAACTGACGAGCTTTCCTTCTGCAGCCCGTCTCCAGAGGAGGGAATGGGTGACGAGTTCGACCTGATGGATCACTCAGACCTCTACATCCTTGACTTCAGTACGTGAGCACTGCCCACGCGGGCGGCACCTCCTGCCGCCAGGCTGATGTGCTGGGGAGCTGGGTCCTGCCCTTGGGCACCGGGGTGCAGGGCTAGACAAGGCTGTCGCCACTGACTCTACCTTCGCTCCACAGGTCCCAGTCTAAAGACGCTGTGCAAGCTAGCAGTGATTCAGTACAGCCTGGACCAGTCTTGCCTTCCCCACGACATCAGGTACAGGGGAACAGGTGCCCCTCAGGTGCTCCCTGTCTTGGGGACATCAGCAGGGCTCTGGGGCGCTGTGTTCCTGGGCTGGCGAGCACGGCCATTTGCCCTTCCCCTTAGCGCGTCCCCTCGGTGTCTTTCAGATGGGAGCTCACGGCCATGACGACAAACAGCACCATCAGCCGCCCCATAGTCTCCTCGCAGGGCTGAAGCTGCCTCGTGCCTCCGCCTGCTGCCCTCCCCTCTCCCCTCCACACCCTCGTGTCTTGTTCCACTGCCTGCATGAATTTTTAGCCCCTGAAGCAAGAAGCGTGCGTGAGCTCTGTTCGTCCTGCCCTCGACGGGCCTCCCTCTGTCCATGGCGCAGCTCCAGCACACAGAGGTGTGGACAGAGCAGGTCCTCGGGCAAGAGATCGACACATGTGTGAACCCCATCTTCGGTGCTGCCTCCAGGGCCTCTCGTGTTGCCCCATCTTGCCCGGAGAACTGCGGCCGTGCTGCCCTTGGGCCCTGCCCTGCTCCCAGGGCTTCAGCGGACTCCTGGCACCACCTGTAGCCCTGGGCTCAGGCTACAAACTGTTCCTGTGCGAGCGGGGACTCCCCTGCCTGCCCGGGCTGGCACCGAACTGCGTCGGGGCAGCAGCCCGAGCCCAGGCCCTGCGCTGTCGCAGGGGTTGGCAGCAGCAGCTCTGCTGCCTGGCTCCGTGTGTAACACAGCAGCTCTGCAGGGTTTTATAAACACTGCGCCCGTGCCCGGGTTTACATTGCACTGTGTGTCCTCGTGGGGAGCGTGAGGGAGCGGGGAGGAGAGGCTGAGCACAAGGGCCTGGGTTGTGCTGGGGGGGAGAAGGGGCAGCCTGAGGATGGTGGCAGGAAGAAGGGCTGTGTCTC